TATATAATATACATTTTCACAAAACCATTTTATCTATCTCTGCACTGAAAATAATAATAGACCTGTGTTTAGTTTGAGTGACAACTTGTTGATGTGAGGAAAGTTATGCAATAGATCCATACCTCCAGTGCACAAAAAAATAGTAGCTATTTCTAGTACATTGTATTTACTGTGCATACTATTCATATTAAATAGAATGTGTGACACTGTACTATATATTAAAAGCCAATGTAAATAAATGAATGAATGAATGTCTTAAGCTATGAATACAAAGCTGTCAGGTCTGTAGCAATTTGAAAACAAACTGGAAGCCAGTGAGGACAGGCCAGAACTGGGCTATATGGTCTAATTTACTTATACTTATGATGAAATGAGCTTATACATTCTGACTTAACAGTCGTGGTAAGTTCTGTGTCGTAGAATGAGGTGTGATCGCAAACCCATCTGCAGATCTGCAATCTAACTGCTCATGAGAACTGCATGTAACAGCACAGTGTAAGCTTGATACTGTTACGTCCGTGACCCGGGCCGCCCCATGTACCTCGGTAGCAGGCACATGTAGTTCCAGCAGCTCTGCCCCCACACAGGTGAGGGTGCATTCCAGGCGACGAGGCACACCTGCTCTCCATTATCAGAGCAGTATATAGGGTCAGCGTTGGTGCGTCCTCGTTGCCAGATTATTATGTGTTATCTTGTTGGTAACTACATTTCATGTTCTTGTCAAGGCCTCCAGTTTATGGACCATTGTTTGATCTGCGCTCCTTTCGCAACATTGTGTACTGTTATTTGCGCATTGTTCTGTTGTATCGGTTTTCGTGCCCTTCTCACGTTTAAAGGAGTTTTTGGTTTTTGGACTGCTTTTTGTGAATTGCTCCTCCTCTCAGAGCTCCAAGGCAACCCTGGGACAGCGCCACCATCTTATGTCACACCGCTCAGCTACCAGCGCTGCCTCATCAGGGGACCCACACACCAAACCTGAGATCTCTGGCACCAGTCCCCCCCTCCCTGGACTACTCCCTGGGCCGGCGGCGCACTCAGCTGTTCAGGTCCCCAGAGTGACTACCAGAAACAATCTATACAATACCCGCTGCTTGTTCTCTCTCTGTTCTTATTTAGCGAGCAACGCCTCTCATTCACCCCGGGAGACAGTAGTCCAGTCAACTCAGTGTGCCCAGCTGCTCCAAGATCAGCGGACGAGACCGTCTCTGTTTTGTTTGTTTTCGTGGAGCATTAAATACGTTATTCTTGTCTAGCCTGGGTTCGAATCTGCATATATACTGGGTCCTAAACAACTCACACGCTGCTCGACGTAACAGATACATGCATTCAGTAGGGGACATGCACTAGCTATTCCACTTCTACTGTTTATTCAGTATACATACAAGACATATAATAATTTCACTTTAGGTCTCTGGGTGTTTACTGGCCCTTAGTAAACATATTGCCAATAATTTTTCCAACAATCCCTTAGAGGTAAACAGCTCCAATGACAGGGTGGCAATCCAATCGATCTCAGATCCATCCAATAAGCTTCACAGGTTTGACAGGAATGATGGCTAGCTGTAGTCTGGAGGTCTGTATATAACTGCACTTGCTGGGACTTCAACCTTCAACGCTATGAACTCAAGGTCAGTTACATTATAGATGTACTGTTTTTCATACATTTGAATGTGGTTTCTGACATAGGCCTATTCAGAATCTTTCTGAAATTAATAATTTTGCAATATGTAGCTTTATTTTGACAGTTTTGCACCATTCAAATGAATGAAAAAAAATCTCCTTCAGCATGCTTTCAGCTATTTCAGGTATCAACATGTTCAGCTCCTCAAGGACATTCATACTTTTCTCCAAACCTAATACCTTTGAAATATTTAGCTTTATTTTGAAAATCTTGCCCCATTCAAATGAATGGGGAAATTCTACTTCAGCATACTTTCAGCTATGAAAATGTTTAGCTCCTCAAGGACATTTATGCTTCTATTCAGAGTTCTTCTAAACTTCATACATTTATAATATTTAGCTTTATTCTGAAAATCTTGTCCCATTCAAATGAATAAGAAATTTCAACTTCAGCATACCTTTAGCTATTTCAGGTACCAAAATGTTCAGCTCTTCATGGACATTCATGCTTCTATTCAGAATTTTTCTAAACTTCATACTTTTGAAATATTTAGCTTTATTTTGAAAATTTTGCCCCATTCAAGTGAATGGGAAAAATCTACTTCAGAATAATTTCAGCTATTTCAGGTATCAACATGTTCAGCTCTTTAAGGACATTCATGCTTCCGTTCAGAATTTTTCTAAAATTCATATATTTATAATATTTAGCTTTAATTTGAAAATCTTGCCCCATTCAAATGAATGGCAAAATCCTACTTCAGCATATTTTCAGCTATTTTAGGTAGCAAAATGTTCAGCTCTTCAAGGACATCCATACTTCCATTCGGGATGTTTCCAAACCTTATAGCTTTGAAATATTTAGCTTTATTTTGAAAATATTACCCCATTCAAATGAATGAGAAAATTCTACTTCAGCATACTTTCAGCTATTTTAGGTATCAAAATGTTCAGCTCTTCAAGGACATTCATGCTTCTCTTCAGGATTTTTCTAAACTTTATACCTTTGAAATATTTAGCTTTATTCTGAAAAGTTTACCCCTTTCAAATAAATGGGAAAATTCTACTTAAGCATACTTTCAGGTATCAAAATGTTCAGCTTTCCCAGGACATTCATGCTTTGATTTGGAATTTTTTTTGAAAATTTCCCCCTTTCAAAATAATGGGAAAATTGCACTTCAGCATACTTTCAGGTAGATAAGCCTTTCAGGTGTCAAAATGTTCAGCATTTTCAGGGTGATCCTTCAGCACATAGCATCCACACGCATTTTTCTCAGGAACTGCATTTATCTAGTTTGTCCGGTAATACTTTGCAGAACTACAACCCACAGACTTTTTTTATTGGAAATGAGCAAATTATACCATCAAGACAGGGAATATACATTTCATGGAATCCACGTTATTAGAAACTCACAGAGAGAAAATGATAAATAAAAAGGTCACAGCAGCAATAAATCATTAAACAACCTTAATAAATAAAAATAAAACAGGTGAAGCATAACTTGGCTTCGCATTAAAAAAACTTTTTAAAACAGCATGTTCTGAAAGAGGTCATTTATCAACTTCATGTTACATAGACTTTTTATGGGATTTGATGCTGTTTGATAAAAATTTAAATTCATGTTTTAAAAAGAGGCACATTGAGTGACAAGAGCCCGTCCATTTGCAACAATATGGCATTTACTCAAAAGTAAAACAATCTAAAGTACATACAAAACAAAATATGTAATTAACAGGACTACAAAAAGTCAACGGTTGATGTCACTGAAGATCGACGGGCCCCCCACATGGACAAGAACAATATATATTCTTTTTGTTTTAATTGGGAATAGTTAATTAAGGCACGTGCCCGTTTCAACGATGGACAAACCGTTAACAAGCGGCTGCCACCGGTATAAGCCTCAGCAGCGTGTGGTGATTTAATAAACTGTTTTGCAATAGGGCAGCAATATATTGCATCAGCCCTTATGAAAGGACCCCATTTCTGAGCCCTGGCGAATTACAAATCGAGAGCATATTAATGCCAAACATCTTGTACTAAACACATACGATTCATTACTAGACTAAATGAGCAATAAATCACACTTGATTTAATAATAGTTCTTCGAAGATGGTAACGGCAGGTTTTATCTTTTGGTCAGGCATTAGCCAGAGCCTCCCCCTCGTTATTCTCTTTCGATTCAAGATGGCGGGTGATGAGTCGGGAACTACGCTTGGTCAGCCTCATTTGGCCAAACAAGATCTTAGTTCTCTAGTAAGTGTTCATGAAACTGATTTCTAGCTTTGTTGTTGAAAGTAGCGGTTGTCGGTCAGTCGTGTTGCCAAAACTGTTACGCAAAACATCTATAACGTTGATCGTTGCTGGTGCTGCTAGCCACCCGGCACACGACACTAGGCTCGGCGCGTGGAAACCCAAGAAAACCGCTTTATTTCTGCCCCGAATTTGACTTGGTAAAAAGCTCAAAATGACAAACTGGTTTAATGTGTGGCCTAACATGTTTAAATAGTAGTTGTCTCTCTATTACATGTAAATAAGCAATGCTCAACACGGTGTTATCCAATTAGCTAAATTGAAGTTAAATCTATG